TTTGTGTGTTTTGAAAAAATTTCTTACATGAATCAAACTGATGTCATTTCCATGCTGTTAAACTTGCTGTATTTTGCAGCAGCCACTATAACTCAGATACAAAATTCCCTTTTTGCAGCTATTGGGTGAGTGGAGCTAATGCAGGAAAAAAAGAAGTTTTTGTGGACAACCTCCCTGGGTATCCAGACAACATCAGATTATCAAACACAGGCTTATACAGAGTTGGAATATCTACTGCTCGCTTTCCCAGTTTCTTTTCTCCTTTTCTGGATGCTTTAGGACCATATCCATTCCTGAAGAGATTCATTGTAAAGGTACCTTTGACACTGTGTAGTAGTAGCTATCAATGTCACAAAGTATTAAATTTTAAAGTATGAAAGAACTTAGTCTTCACTAGGAAACAGAAAAGACTGCTTTATATTTACCAGCCATCATGCCAGCACATACCAGCTTCGACTGAGGATTGGTTTCTCTTTCACATCACAGCAGTTCTGCTGTTGTGGTAACACCGAGAACCCATTTATAAGTAGAAGAATCAGTACTGACAGAAGGAGTCCATAGCTGCAAGCCCTCAGCCCATTGTTTATAGCAATGTGATACTGTCAAGGCAGGTGAAGAACCCTTTACAAGTTGTCAAGCAAGAGTTGTGGAGCTGGTTATGATTAACCATGCTACTTTTTTCTAGGAACCATGCCACCTTTTCCCCTAGAACTTGCATAGGAAAAACACTGAAGTGGGCCATTCAGTTGTTTTCCATTAAGTCCTCCTTATTCCTGCTTTCAGAAAATAGGTGGCTTGTTGGCAGCTGGAGTGAGTAAAGTTCAAACAATTTCCACACCTTGAGCAAGCATGCACTCACTGTACTGTTAAGATCAGACTGCCAGCTTTAGACGCACTCCAGTAGATACTATCAAAATAACAAGTGACAGATGAATCTGACTAGAGCAACATCTGGAAAGCAGTATATTAGCATTACCTTTTCTTTCTAGTCGTGGAACTTTCCCACTTCCCCCCTCAAAGTGTTAACACTGCATTTCTTTTTCTAAACCAGGTGACTCCTTTATCATTCTACAGCATTTTTCTTCACAAACATGGCTTGTTCTTGGACATTAATGACAACGGAGACATTGTGGCAAGCTTCCATGACCCTGATGGCAGCATCACTTGGGCTGTCAGTGATGTCTTTGAGCATGATGGGAAGGTGTATCTAGGCAATACAGAACTGCCTTTTCTTGTGGTGCTACAGTAAACTTCATGGTTTTCAGAAGCTGTAGCATCAAAAGAAAGATAGCAGTGTTGTTTCAAGCTGCTGTTAAGTGATTTTCTCTAGTCAATGGGAGACTGCTAAGTCACTGAAGGAGAAATGAAACTGATACCACGTGGTTAAGCAGAAATGAGAATACAATGCAGAAATACTTGTTTTAGAAGCTTGTGAAAGCCTCAGACTTACACAGGTTAAAGATACCCAATCACCTTGCTCTATAGCTCAGAAAAGTTACATGTATATTTTTCAACAACAGTTGCACATCATCAAGGATTTCAACTCTGTACCAGGGACTGGGATGAGTAAGTAAGTAGCACGTATCTCACTGTTGCTCACAGTTCCCATTTTGGAAAAAGCCTTATGTAGGATTTTCTTCTTCCTCTTTCCCAGAGGCTGAACATACTTGGTTTTAATTATGAACAGCAGTTTCTCCATTGTCCCTTTTGTTAAACGTTTCCATCTATCCAACTACATCAGTTTCCAAGGAAATATGAGCAAGTATAGCTTGTGTTTCAATTTGTTCTCTCCCCTTAGCATTTCTTCCTGGTGCAAAGCAGTCACATGTTGTCTTGTGAAACTCTCCACATGAGGTTCCCTGTTACTGTATAAAAGTTCACTAGTGGCCACTGTTCAGTAGCAAGGCAGTAAGCAGAGAACAGGCTTATAACTAGGAATTCAGTCCCCAGCAGTGTGACACAGCCTGATCCTGTGGAAAGGTTTAACTGAAGTTCAATAACAAAGATAGGAAGTTTGATAGGCAGTTTATTTTTTCTTTCCCCAAAAGTGCAGCAGTGAACAGGGTCCTCTGGAAGGGCACTTTCTAAACAAACGTTCAAAACAGCAGAAGTTAAGTATGCTCACAACATGCTACAGCAAAGTATGCTCACATACAGAGAGAGTGAGTGATACAAATACAAATTAAACTGAATCACAATAAACAATAGCTGTTTCATTATGATGAAATATCATGTTTAGTTTGTAGAATCAGTCTTAAATTTAATGTGATTGAAAAGGTGTGATTAGACCTGCTTTAGGGGTGGTTTGCATGTCTGTGTCCCTGCTACAGCTTTATTCTGCAAAATGAAGCAGCCCAATTCAATGGACTGATGCTGGGTAAGCACATACTGGCTGTACTCACTTATGCTGAAGTGGTATCAAATGGATTTTGGTTTAGGATAATGTAGTAAAATTCTGAACTGTATTTCTCCCTGTATAGTATCTATTTTACCTGATGCAACCATTAAGGTTCACAGCTCTGCTTTGATAATAATGATTTTTAAAAATAAAAATATTCACATTTTACCTAAACCCAACTCTGTACCAGTAAGGCTCTTTCATTTAACCCAAATGCCTTCAGTAACAAGGTACAGATACAGCCATGGTCAAATAGCATCTGAAACGGCATTTCCAGGAAGACCATTTAGTTTTAAATTCACTTAGTTGGGAATCAAGGTTCCTTCATAGTGTTTTTGTAATCACCAAGGATAAGAATTAACACTGTTCATTCAAGGCTGTAAAAATACTCAGAATTAATTCTTTATGGAACCAGACAGCAGAGGAGCTCTAACAGCAGCAGTGGCAGGCAACTGTTGGGTCCTGTTCTTCCTTCAACTACATGCTTCTGCTGAACAGATCTTAAGTCTTTATCAAAAGCAAGAGTGAAGCAGGTGTTTGCCTGTACCACTGTTGTGGGTAAGTAAGGACTGACTGATTTCATTCTGAGTTTCAGTTTAGTACAACACATTACCTGTAACAGATTTCAGATATAGTGTGGTTCTCTGACAGGGAGCATGTAAGTTACTGAGTGTAGTTACAAGGTGCTTTACAGGTGTGTGCAGAGAGCAAGTGTCAATTTGGGTAGAACATCTGGTCACACATACTGAATAGTCTGTATCAATTCTGTCAATGATCACATTAGTTATTAGGCAAAAATTAAATAATCCAAAAGAAAATTCTCTTGTTATGGCTTAAGATCACTTGAAGACAGCTACACATCTGTACCCATAACAAAGTTTGTGTTTTTTTCTATTAAGCAGCAACATACACATTACTAGCACTGAAACTCAAGTAGAAACTTGACACATGACCTAGATTGGCTAGAACTGTTGAGGGTTTAATGTGCAGCAATCAATGTATTTCCCATTTGCCTCCACACAGCTACCAAAATTAAATTTAAACAAGGAACGTGCCTAAGTTGCTGGAATTATCTGAGGAAAAAAACATGTAAATGAACTTCAGGTTTAGCTCAGAAAGAAAACACTTGAGAGCATGAAAACAACTTTGGTTTTGTTTGTAAAGACAAAACAGAGTCTGAAGGATACTGACAGGCAATACTAAGGCTTGAGAAACAAAAAACAGGATAAAGCTACAGTTGTAGTGGAAGAAAAAATAAAGTCCTGAGTATTTGAAAGCATGTAAGTAGTCTGAACATCCAACCCCCTCTGCATTTATACAGATGCTCCAGCTGAAAAGTTACCTTTCAAGTGATGATTTTTTCTCAAATATTTGGTCACTCTAAAGACTTGAAACAGTAAGTTAGATTTGAGACAAAAAGCTGTATAAAACCTAACCTGTAGACCACCACAGAAGTTTGCAGCTCTAAGCTACATGAAGGACAACTTCTGTGCTTCAGAATTAAAAGCCAAGGAAGTTCAACTTCCCTTGTTTTAGCATTACTTGTATCCAGTTTGTGGGTCTGTGCGCTGGGCTATGCACCTTCACAGTTTTGAGAGTCATATTTTGTTGCCTACTTAATGATTACTTAGTAAAAGGTTTTATGTGACAGAAGTTGAAATCATCATGCTCTCTATTTGGGTAAAAGAACTGAAATAACTAACAAAGTAGTTGTGCCCCAGTTTGCCTGAGAAGGGAACAATCATCTTGCTTGATAACACACCTGATTCACCCACAAGCAGCATGAACTTGTCTTGCAGAAGATAGATGATAGCCGATTTGGTGTTTCGCCAACAAAGCTATACAGAAGTTACACGCTGACGCAAGTTTGGGTGTTTTTCAGGATTCAGAAAGATACTGCAGTTTGGGTACAAGTGATGGCTGCAGTTCAGATAAGCCTAATCATAAGGTTGACAAGACAACATCCCCCTCCCAAAGGGAAGCTGAGTGATAACGCGCTGCAGTCAGGCGTCTAGGCAGGCAGTTCTTTGGTGTCAAGGCCACTTACTGCGGGTGCCGGGTAGTTACGTCTCAACCAAAAAGCAACACTCTATGAAGCACTTAAACTGCCTAAAGTAGCCCTGTCAGCCTAACTCTAGTGATCAATGATTGATTTATTTATAGCTATTTTTCTTTCAAAATAATTTACCTTCAAGAATCTAATCAACCAAGATGTTAGACAATTAAAGACATTTGGAGGTTAGAAACAGATTAGCTTTACTGTGGTGCGCAGGTTTTTTTTTTTTGTTGTTGTAGATTTTTTTCCTTTAGCATTATTTTGTTCATGTATTAAAAGACCTAAGGGTTAGCTCAAAACACAGGCACACTTATTTAAATACTCGTTAGTCTCAACACTCTTGTTTCACTCGTAGGAAGCCTATATTAAACCCTAATATTTTTCAGTAGTACACAGTAACCCATTCCAGCATTTCCCACTAGAAGGATCTTAAAGTTACATTCTTGTTTGCAAGCTACCAAAGCTGTCCTACAAAATTCATTGGTCTCGCTTGAAATGGTCTCATTGAAAGAGAATATTTAGACACTTGCTTGTCTGATCTACAGCTTTGCCTAATGCCTTCCTGTACTCTTTTGGGCTACTTTGCTACTGTCATCACCAGCTTTGATCTCAATTCAGGAAATCTATAATTAAACATAGCTTTTGAGAAAGTCTGTAACACTGAATATGGGTGAGCATTACTGTGCAATAGCACCTGCCTATCCAACCCAACTCAGATACACATTTACTGATTTTTAGAACAAAATAAACTGTTCAGATCCATAGGCAAAGGTTCACCTCTGTGCCTGTGATACGAAAAGATACTTGAAAGACAAAGGTGGTAATCAATTATCTGAGCAAGACAGATTAGCTGTGTCTAACGATTCAGAGTTAGAGTTCAGCTGTAAGATATACATATTGCACAAGGCAACCAGCTAAAGACAAGGGTTTTTCTTCCAAACAGGGTTTGAATAGCCCATGAAAAGTCTTCCAGCTGTGATCAGCGAGAGCTACGGAGACAGACCTGCTGCAGTCACTGGAGAAACTGGCCAGCGGGAGCCAACTACAAGAGGCTCTGAAGTGCCTTACAAGGACCGTGCGGAGAACCTCCGAGCCCGAACACCGTGATTGCTGAACATGAGCCGTGGGTCAAACCTGTACCTATAGAGAGGAACAGAGTCTGTGTGAGTGACTGCAAGCACAGTGACCAACTCTTCTAGAAACAGCTACTTCCAGAAAAGCTCTGGGCACGTGAATAGTTGTTTCTCAATGGTATGCAGCAGGGACAAGCTCTGCACATATTATAGCAGATGAGTTATAATGACACACAGCTTAGGAGCTGATAGTCTCCAAAGAAAAAAACACTAGCTACAACATGCCAGCAGCATACTGGCATGTATAACATTCAGTACTCAGTAGATGCATCCTAATAGAAAGCTTTGCTACCTCAAATTACAAACTTACATAGCACAACTGTAAGAGCATTTAAAGCAGTGCTTAAAAAGCTTCACTCCAAATGATTACCAACTGATTTTTGAGGTAAGAAGTGCTGTTAACTTACAACAGCTGACTAATTCATACAGCTCAGGTCCTGCAGGAAACATTCTTTGCTAAGAGTATTTCCAGGAACAACCAGATCAAGTATTTGGAAAATGGCTGCCCAGGGCAACCTGCAGAGCTTTTCCTTGTTTGCAGGCAAACCTGAGGTCACTTGCCTCTGACTACTCAGCACAGCTGTAAGCTTCAGCTATTCTAAGTCAAGAGTGGCTGACAAGATTAAAGAACTAGTATTAATACCATCAAGGTATATTTGGTAGATTAAATTAAAATAGAGATTAAGCATTAAAAACCAAACAAGCATCAAGAAAGCACCTCTATCAAACAACAGTATGTCAGCAATATAATATTCCAACATAAATACTCTCTATAAAAGCTTGATTTAAAAAAATATATAGCTATATTTAAAAGTATTTTATAAAAGAATTGAATCAGTGCTTACCCAGGATCAAAGACACCCGGCGTACGGCATGTTGCTCCCGAACAGGACTGCAGCATCATTAATCGATAGTTCATCTTTTCTAGAATTTCTTGATCAATTGTTTTAGCAATGTTGTTGATCTGGTGTGGATCTGCAGTCAAGTTATACACTTCCACAAATACCTGGAGAAGAGAGTCCCTGCTCCGTATTAAGTCCTAAATGCTAATTAACTTTTAATCGTATTATTTGGGAAGAACACTTAAGGACAGCATATCATCTGAAATGTTATTCCTAATGATGCTGCAGCATTCCCACAAATAAGCTGTAATTAGCTATGCGCTTAAGTGGTCAAAGACAAGAGAGTGTGTAGGTAAAGTTTAGTGTGATAAGACAGTATTACTGGAGAGGTTTTTACTTCCACTTCAAGTACTCATCCACTACACAGCAGATTTTTTTCTAACACATAAATGGAACCTGTCTTATGACTGTAAGACCACAGCAAGAGGCCATGGCTAAGCTGGCTGCCTTTTCATTACTGGATCTCAAATACACGATTTCCTGACCATCACACCACCATTATATCATGTATCAGCTCATCAGGTACTTCCAGCTGTCAAACTCCAGCAGGTGTCTTGACTACACATACAAAACATACTGAATACCAGTATGCTCTAACACTCATACAAGAAAGTTTTTTTGTGTGCACATGCTTTGAGAAGGTTTTTTGTGTGCTTTGAGAAGGTTTGTCTGGAGGATTTTAGGGCAGATTTGGGTTTTTTGTACACTAGATCTCTAAACCATTTTGTGGGACAAATATTAGTCAAGCATATCTCAAGAATTCAGCTGAGGTTTTGTCTGTGCTAGAGCAAGAGGCTTGATTGCAGATGATGTTGATTTAAAGTGGCTGGGTTGTGTCTAACATAGATAAAGATGCATCCAGCCAGCCTTTGATTGCGAGCTTTCTTCTAAGGCTCACTGCAAGGTTTTAAAAGCCACATCACTGCATCTTCCCAACACTGTTAGCCCTAATTTAGCTGATCCAGGGGAGCTCTGTGACCAAAAAATGCTCCAGCCATTACTGGGGGAAAAAAAAGTGACATGTAGTGTATTATCAGGTCAACTTTGGAGTCTACTTTTATGAGGAAACCTGCAACACTCATTTGACTTCACCATAAATTGTCAGAAAATGGAAAAAGGGCAGGGTCTGTTAATCATCATCTTAGTCTCCTACACAATCTTTCTTGCTATCTTAGAACAAAAACCATCATGTGGAATTTGCTCCCCTGGTTTAAGGTGTTCACTGTAGACTATAAGAAAGCATTCTGTGGTCCCACAGTAACTGGGGATACCTGCTGTTTATGCATTTATCTGCAGTTTATTAGATTTGTAACCCTGTTGCCTCAAACTCAGTGTTTTCTCTGGAGCAGCTGTGTGCAAAGGGGCACAAGTAAAGATCAGCCCTCTAACACACTAGTGAGATCTGGACAGTTTCTGAAGTGGGGATGTTATGTCCTTTACACCCAAACAAGTTAAGGTCCGAGACCTTTCTCATAGTTGTAACTTAAATACTTGTTTTGCCAGACAAACAAGCAAGTGATAGGAGAGAAATGATGAGCCTGGGATTTCAGTTCTTCCCAAGGAAAAAAGTTGCAGCTGAGTCTAAGAGCAGCAGACATAGAGTTTAACAGAAATATTTGTCATACAGAAGACTCTGCTGCATGGAATTGGGGTAGAACAGAGATCTGAACCCAGCTCAGCACCCCCATGAGGCTGTTAAGTGATACCAACAGGGGACAGTCATAGTTTAGACTCTTGTCCCTTCCTCGCCCCC